CACAAAGTTGTTGAAGTCCTCTTGTATATTAAATTTAAAAATCAAATCCCAAAAGACTATACACAATGACACTTTTCTAAAGTCCCAAAGGTGACAAAACAAGAAATATATAATTTAGTTATAACAAATATGTGATAAAAAAAGGATCTTAAAAAGGAAAAAAAAAAATTGCCTGAGAGAAATACAACATTCATAAAAACAGTTGCCTTTATGGGAGTGGCAGGGGCAGGAAGGCGGATGAGCATACATTATTGTTGTTGTTAAGTGCTGTCCAGTTTGTACTAACTCACAGTGACACTGTATAGGGTTTCTAAGGAGAAGCTGGTGGGTTTGAACCACCAACCTTGTGGTTAGTAGTTCAGTGCTTATCCTAGAACAAACACCACACCAGGGCTTAGTAATTTACTATTTCATGACCTGGGTACCACATTTACTTGTATTTATTATATGATTTTCCATTAAATTTTTATATGTATTAACATTCTTTATTATATTCTTTTGTATTCATCAATCCCATTTTTAAAAATGTTCATGCGTAGAGAGTCCTCTCAAGAGTCTTCCTAGGGTTATATTTCAATAAGCAAATGCTCACATTGCTTCTCACCTTTCTTCAAATCCAGATACTTAACACTGACAACATGTCAAAGCCAGAAAAAAGCACAGGTATTTCCCAGACCAAGACAAAGACATCATCAGTAAATTTAGAAGGTGGTTGATGAGTGCTGGACAGTTGGATGAGTAGATAAACAAAAAGTCTACGACTTTTGTACAGCTTATTACTGAGATACTGAAGTTAAGGTTTGCTGTCAAGGTCAGCCGAAAAAGCAGATTATGTTCAAGGTGTATGGAAGCTGGTTGTATTGATACCATGTTTCTGAGAAGACACCCAGTACATTCAGATGTCTGCTGCCTCATTCCAGTTTCCTTAAAAACACCTCTTACAGTTCTACACACTGTCACTCTGGGTTGTTATTTGTTGAAATTTGACTTGGATATTAAAAAGAGAACAATGGGAATTCTGAGGCATATAAAGAAATGATGAAAGATGCAAGCATAACTGATTTTTGTTGGAGCAGCTTAAAAAATGTTTTCCATGAAAGGTCCCTATTTTTTTTTAAGAACTGTGGCTTTCACAAATGTTTCTGACTGTGCACCCATCAGTAAAATATTTCTGGGTATTTGCTTTAAAAATGTGTATGTATTTATTTACAAACTATATAAATACATACACCATCTTGAGAAAAAACATGATTCCCCAAATTTTTTGAGGACTTTTATCAACTTAGATGGAGTCTGTCAATAAAACATTCCTAAATATCATTAAATTTAGACAAGTTCTGCCAAGTACAAGATTGACTTTTATACTTAGAAAAAACAAAACAAAAGAACAAGAACAAAACAAAAACAAAATTCTGAAGCTGCCTGTCTGTTTCTACTAGAAAATATTTCTAAATGTCATGCTAACTGGGATGATCATATCCTATTTATTTGTGGTTGTTAAGTACCATCGAGTCGGTTCTGACCCAGCCGAGGAGAGGCTGGTGAACTTGAACAGCTGACCTTGCGATTCAAACTGTCCAGGGCAGTAACCCACAGCGCCACACCAGGACTCCATCCTACTATTAGCTATTATTTTAAGAACAACATACACACTTAGTGAGGGGTTTACTGTTAGTAAACCCACTTGCTGTGAAGTGACCTAGTCCACTGTGGAATGTGGATTCTGGCTCATACTGACCCTCACAGGGTTTTCCAAACTGTAGATCATTATAGGAGCAGCCTTATCTTTTTTTCCAAGATGGCTGGTGGGTTTGAATCACTGACCACATAAAACCATTTAGCAGCCCAATGATTAACCCACTGTGCCATAGGAGTTTAGTCTTCTTTAATCTTTGGCATTATTTGACTACATCTTCTAACTAAAGTGAGCCATTAAAAAAAAATCTTATAGTATGGCTGTCAGTTTATACTCAGAGAGTATCACCTCTGCCTTTTTTGTTTTGTTATTTACTTGTGTTTGCATAATTAACAGCCTTCGATTGGCAATTTAATTGCAGGAATCCTTTAAAGCTACCTGACCTTTCGTGAGGGTTTGGTAAGTTAAAACTGTATGATATAAATCTTAACCCAGTGCTTGTTAACTTCAATACATCACAATATGCCAACAGTAAACCAATAAATGGACTCCTGGTGTGGCCCTGTCGGATAATCACAAGGTTGTCGGGTCAAACCTACCAGTTGCTCCTCAGAAACCCTTCCTTTAAAGGTTCACTATGACTGGGAACCTACTCAATGGCACTTAACAACAACAACAATACATGTGAAAAAGTTGATAACACCTTCTTTGTTGTTGTTGTTAAGTGCCATTGAATTGATTCTGACCATAGCGACCCTGTACAGGGTTTCCAAAGAGCAGCTGGTGAGCTTGAACCACTGACTTTGCAGTTCAAGCTACTTCATCTATAAACACCCTTTATTCTTTCAGAAGATTTGTGACCAGTTGACAAATTCAGTAATAGGAGGCACTAGTAAGGTTTGTCATTTTATATTTTTTAATTGAACATTTAAATCAAAGGCATATTATTTTTTCTAAATTCCAATTAATCTGAACTCCCATTTATCAATTTATACATTGTCATTTATCTTCTCACTTTGGAAACCAGTATTTTAAAGAACACATATTCCTCTCTTTTACATCAAAGCACTCACTAACTCCACTTAGATTTACTTGGCATATAGATAATCGTGTTGAGTGTCCTGGAGTGGCACTGTAGGGTAAACATTGGATTGTTAACTGCAAAATCAGCAGTTCAAACCCACCAGCCGCTCCTTGGAAACTCTACACAGAGTCACTAAGCGTTGGAACAAGGAGCCCTGGTAGCATGGTGGTTACGAATTGGGCTACTAATCTCATGGTCAGCAGTTCACAACTACCAGTGGGTCCGCAGAGACAGATGAAGCTTTCAGCTCTTGTAAAGATTTACAGCCTCAGAAACCCTATACAGGGTCGCTATGAGCCAGAACCAACTCAACGGCACACTACCACCACCAGGAGTTGGAACAAAATAGATGGCCCTTCAATTATGACGTTTCCTGCAATAACTTTGTGCCTCCAATCTTCAGGGCCCAATCTGGCAACCACTAAAGAAGCATAATGGGAAGAAACCTTTTTGAAAAACAAACAAACACCTGATTATTCTTAAGGCCAGGAAACACTAATAAAACTAAGGAAAGAAGACTATAACGAAAGTGACACATATTCCAACAGATGGAGAGGAAAACAAATTCTACAAGAAGTAACTTTGCATTAGTCTGTTTTTAATAAAAAGCATTCATGTCAAGATAATGCCAGTCCTAGCTAAATAGTATATTTTAGACTCCATGTGTGCAAAGAACTGCTCTATAGAGTTTTCAAGGCTGTAAACTAGACACAAACACAGACACACACAGAAGGGCTTCAAAAAACTCGTAAAATAATGGGATTAAAAGACTATGTCCCTCTGTGTGTGTGTGTGTGTGTGCTGTTATGTATTATTCTGTTTTACTGTCAAGTAAGAGTAATTATAGTATCATTTAAGGAGCTCCGGTAGCGTAGTGGTTACAAATCAGGCTGCTAACCTCAAGGTCAGCAGTTCGAAACTACCAGCTGTTCCAGAGGAAGAAAGACGAGGCTTTCTGCTCCTTTAAAGATTTACAGCCTCGGAAACCCTGTACAGGGTCGCTATGAGTCGGAACCAACTCGACAGCACATAACAACAACAGTCTTTGGCAGCAGAATGCAGTGGTTTCAGAAAAGATTAAGAAGATAGTTAAATATTTATAACTGGGTCTTAACATTTTGTCTTTCGTACAGTAATTAGCAGAGTTGTTGGATAAAAAAGGTCAAGCAAAGGACTACTTTTGAGAACATATAACGATTGTGATATACAACTAAATATTCTAGTGACAATGGAAGGTTTGGATTAGGAGTAAGTAAACACAAAATAGGTTTAGAAAAGTCAATAATGGTTAGAAATAAGGTAAATCCTATAAAGCATATTTTGACTTAACTTTTAAGAAAACTCGGAAATTTGAATTTAGGCCAATTCTGTTTTCGTATGAGAATGGAGTCTTTAAGGCCAGGAGCACACAGAATTATATCAGGGAAACCACACTGTGGTTCAAATTCTAAGCATGTTGACTAAAACTTATAGACTAAATAGAAAAGCCACTTTTAGACTGCTGCAAAATTTCACTATTTAAAAATTTACATATCCAGAATACGCAGGAAGCAAAGTCTTTTAGAAAATAATTTTAGTGAGACCAATTTACCTTTACCTTAGAATCGTAGGCCGAGTCACTTCTAGATATCATTTAGCCGCACAAAACATTGCTCAGAACAGTCAAAATTTCCTAAGACGCTGAATAACTTTTATGGGTGGGGCTAGTGGCTGAGAAGGAACAGGATTCATTTTGGCTAGCTCTAACGTTGGAAAATATTTAGTACCACACCCTCAGCAAAGGCCTAACCCACAGCCAAAACTACTGTCAAATCGGTCCATTTTTGGTCTCTTGTCACTGCCCTCTAAGCAACTAAAATAATGCGAAACAATAAACGGAATACAGAAGTTTGAAAGCGGCGGGGTTTGGGGGCACTTAAGAGTCGGGGGGGGGGAAATCAAGAAAAATGTCCAATTTTCAATCCTCTATTCTACCCTGAATTGAAGAGTGTTTTACTCATTCACTGGCAAAGAGTTATTTATTTTTTACTTGCTCACTCTTCGAATGCCTTAATTACTACTACCACTTTCCTAAGCAGACCATTACTCAGCACCCAGGTGGTAAGCAGCGCCTTCCGACCAGGCGGGACCTGGGAGATGCGACGCAAACAGGAACCTCTGAACTCGGGGCTCAGGTGTCAATGTCTCCCCACGCCCTCCCTGCCCTCCTTTCTTGGGACCCCGTCCCGATCTGGAAACGAGCAAGTACCAACCTGACCTGCGCTGGTCCCCGGCGCGGAGGTGGAGCTGAAGGGCAGGTTCGGACAAGGAATCTGGGGAATTAGGAGGAGGCCGCGGGACCCCGAGGTTGGCCACCCGGATGCACCCCACTCTCCGGCGCACGCCCACCTCCCAGCCCCTCTGCCCAACTTCAGCCCTCTGCCCTACGAGCTCCTTCTGTCCTCCGCTGCCCTCGCCCCCCAGTGTCAGCCGCCTCACCTCCTCCCGACCCCCTTACCTTTCCATTCTTGGGGCTGCCGTTAAGGAACAGGGTCACCCGCCTCATCGCGCTGCCCCCACCGGGTCCTGAGTGAGCCGCCACCCTCCCACCTTTTTCTCCTCCCACCTTTTTCTCCTCCCGCCCTTCCCCTCCCTCCACCCACTCGGACTCTCCTCCCTTCGCCACCTTCCTTCTCTTACTCACAGACAAACACACACTGTCCGTCCCACACCCCACGGTTGGCGGGTCCTCCTTCCCACCCCGCCCCTAAACTCCTCAGCCGCCTGGTCCCCTTCCCCCACAGCTCCCAGATTGACTCGGACCTTCACCAATCAACTGGCAAAGATGATCAGCATTCAGCCAATCATCGCCCGGCACTGGGTGGGCTCATACCAACCCACGGGGTGGAGGGCGGGAAGAAAGGTTGTAGACGGGAAGGGCTATCAACCAATTAGAGCAGAACCTGCAGTCGAACGGCGGCTCGAAGCTTCTCTGAGCAGGCGCAAAATCCAATACCAGGCCACACAGGAGGAGCTCATCTGCATATGGAGGCGGGGTTTTAAGGAAAAGAGGTGGAGCGTTAGACGTGCCCTCCGCCATTCAGCTCCTCCCCACTCTAAAGCTCTCCCACTCAACCAACCCACAAAGGAAACGGTTGTAGCCGGGACTGGTTGATTGGGTGAGAACGCGCCCGTCGTTCTGTCATGATTGGTTCAATGGTTCTTTTCGAAGTTTGCAGCATCCAATCAAAAAGTGGGGGGCGGAGCTTCAGCGTCAACTGAAGAGTTACTCCGCGAGACTAGACAGAAAATAGTCCTACATCACAAGTTAAAACGGTTATTTTTTTTTTTTTCTGGCCAAGGGATCACCCGCAGGTAGCGGTGGCTTCTCTCGCAGACCAGGCACACTGTCCTCTCTACCTGAGACAGCAAGGGAGAGGCTCGGGAGTGTTCGAGGAGTGAGCGCACACGTGCGGTTGCGTGCGGGCGTAGCGATCTGAGGAGGTAACGCTGTGAAACTCAGGAGGCGGAGTCGGCTATTTGAATTCAGCGGCGGGGAGCGAGGACCCTACCGAGGTGAGTGTTGAGACGATTTGCATCGCAGGATCGTGGGGTTGGACTGCGGGGCGCCCTGGCGTGGGCCGCAGCCGGACCGAAGAGGAGCGGAGCAGCCGTTTACCTGCCATTGCACAGCCTCTGGGGTGGCCAGCTTAGCGAGCAGCTGTTGGTTTCTCAAGCCAAAGTCTCCGGACCGTAGAGACAGCGTTTTGGGCCCTCACCGCGGTGTTGCTAATAGCAACACTCTTCTCTTACAGAGACTTCAGAGTAAACTGAAGTGGGAGGAAATCGAAGTCGCAGGGGTGAGAGGTAAGAAAAGTGCTGATGTGGATTCCAGATATCGGAGACTTAGTGGGATAGTCACTCGGGATCCAGGATCCATCCAGATCCGCTGACACGGAATAGCTGAGACTCCACAGCGTTGCGGTTTTAACAGGTGACCCAGAATATTTTGCAGTATGGGGTCTGCGTTATTTCATCCAGAACAACTGTTTTCCTGCATTTCTTTATTTTGAGAAAATATTCTCTTGACATTTATCTTATAGATCATATTGGAATTAAGCCTTGAATGAGGATCTTGACAGAATCAAGTAAGTTTTGGAGTGAAAGATATTTATAATTTTGTTCTCTCCCTTTCTAGATGGATACTAGTTCAAAAGGCAAGGAACTTCTTGATACCAATGACAAGGAGTCTGCTAATAGCAATGCTGGTATGTAGTGATCTGTTGCAATCTTGTGAAAGTTAAGGTGTAGAGATTTTATTTGATAATGCTTACACCCAGCAATATATTATTATTTGTTTGTTTTTTTTTCAAAGATACTACTTACATTTTGGGAAATGAGAAGCTTGTCACGCCTCAAAAACCTGAAGCTATAGTGACTCCTAATGTTTGCAGACCAGAAGTTTTGAAATCACCTTTGAACTTCTCTACTGTAACTGTAGAGCAATTGGGAATTACACCTGAAAGCTTTGTTAAAACCACTCCAGGTAACAAAAATTCTTATTCTATTGCAGTGCTTTTAAATTTCAAAAATCACTTGAATGTAATTCAGTTTTACTCACTACTTTATGTATTGTATGTATAATCTCTAAAATGATTGAATGTCAACTTCCTTGCTCAAGGAGACTTCTGTGTACTTGTACAGCTCATCTAGCAGGACGCCAGGGTGAGAATGTTCTGAAGGTTGAGTTGTGCTGCCAACTCAAACTGGAGAAGAAACTAGATGAATGACGTTTTGGCATGTGGGTACAGGAGAATGTATGTTATAAGCAGTAAAACATTTTTTTGTTCTGGAATGGCAGATAAAGAGAAAATTGAAGAACAATTCAGGAAATGTAATATGGAATGACAGGGCTGTGCTTCTTTGAAAATCACAAACTAACATGGCTCAGACTCATTTCCAAGGTGTAGAAATTCACCTGTGAAGCATGAGTTAGATGATGAAGAAAGGAAATGAGAAAATGGAACAGAATTCTTAAATGGAGGATAATGGGCGGGAAAGTCAAGCGACATGAGACCAAGGTGTTTCTTTCTCAAAAATATTGTTACGTGCAGCCAAGTATTGCTCTCATCCATAGCAACCCTGTGTGGGGTTTTCAAAGAGCGACTGGTACGTTTGAACCTCCAACCTTGTGGTTCAAACCGACTTTATAGTTGAGTGTTTATCCTACAGCATCACACCAGGACTCCTCTTTAAAACCTAGCGGCCTTTTGTGTGCTTAGGCACATGGTTAGGATTCAGGAGACTATGCTGAGGGTAGGTATTTTGGCGTGTACCAATGAGTGCCTTTATGTATGTAGCCTTTTGCTGAGGTTCTTTGGAAAAACAATTTGGGAGACCTGCCAAATGGGATTGTTACTTTTGCCTAAGGAGGCGCCTATCTCTGCCTGCAGAGAATGTTACTTTTGTACAAGACCTGAGCTGATTGACAGCTCATGGGAAATGGAGGATTGGTTGAATTCCATCTGGAAAGAGAAGCTCTATTTTGTAATTGTTGAGGACTGTACATAAAGGATTTAAATACAGGTTTTCAGGGCTGAAACAGCTGGGATGGGATGATGTGTCTGACATGCAAGCCCTGTGCTTAAAACCCTCCCAATTATACTTTGGTGTTTTTTATGCTTTCTGAATGCCTCCAGGTAGATGTGATCAGGGAATGGGCTTCCCTTTTCACTCTTTTTCCTGAGAAGTTTCAAGATACCACTGTTG